ATCTTGAGATTGCTTAAATTATCATAAAACTTTTAAATAGTATATTACTGTAGGATTAAAATATTCAGTTCAAATGTATTAATTGATCAAATGTTAGAATTTTTGCTTCAAAATGAATTTTTCATCAGTCTTGGGAGGAAAAATTTACATTGAATCATCACTCTGATCTTTATAGTTTAAAATTAAAGACAACATTATACATATATGGAATTCTGATATTATCTTACCATCCTCCAAGAACTGGATATCAGATGTGTCAAGATTATGATCTGTTTCAAATAGCTGTTTCCCTAAAAGACACAAGTATATTTAACTAAAATGGCATAGTATTCATTCACTTTCCCTACGAACATTGAAAAAAAAAAGTAACAATTAAGGAAAACAAGTCTGAAAATCCATCTTCTGATAAATTTCAATGAATTTATTAATTCATTCAGTAGCTAGCGGTATATGAAATATATTCACATTAAAATGGAACAAGTGATAAATCTAGTTTATCTAGAGTTCTAGAAAAATTATATTGCCTCTATATAAAGTTTATTACCTTAAATATTCCTGTATTTTAAGATCTATTATTTGTAATATTTGTACCAGAAATCAGACATAAAAATTCCTCACAGCCAGGCACAGTGAAACATGCCTGTAATCCCAATTACTTGAGAGACTGAGGCAGAAGGACCACAATCAAGACAGGCCTTGTCATCTTAGTGAGACCCCGTATCAAAATAAAAAATGAAAAAGGGTTGGGGACATGGTTCAGTGATAGAAGGTCACTGGAATAAATCTTCAGTACTGGAGGAAAAATTAATTATAAACTATACTTTAAAAAAATAACATCATGTTGATATATTTTCTTTTTGTCTTAGATGCCTACGAATATTATTGTCTTATAAAAATCTGTTCAAATAATCCTCTTGCTGCACAAGAAAAGATACCAAAATATTTGAGGGTAACAGAAAAAAATATGGGGTAGGGGAGTATCATACCACTCAATTTATTTTTTCCTGCTTGCTCTTCTTCTTTCATCCGTTTCTTTTTAATTTCCAAAAGTTCTGCATCAAACTTGGCCTTCCAACTTAAGAAATTCTCTATTGTAACAGGAGTGCCATGGAATAGTTGCTTAGAAAATAAAAATGACATAACTCACCAGACTGACATGACAGTTTCACAAATGAAGCCTAACAATATCTTCTAGTTAAATAAATACAACTTAGAAGAGAAACAATTTATAAGAAAAATTAATGTTTGAAATTTTGAAACATTTAATTTGATTTCTGCCTGTCCTGGCTACTTTCATTGGTTTTGGCAACTCGCTCTGGAAAAGCCCATTTCTTTTTTATTCTTATTACAAAAAACAAAAATAATATACAATGTAGTTACTATATTTACCACTGATATTTACCATTAAGAAGATTGCTGTCAGTTTTAATATGTGTTGAATACATATAAATTTATAAGAATAAATCATAGTTAACTTCATTTCAGAATTTGAGGTTCTCAGATCATTGTGACAGTGACTTTATCATTCTAAACTTTATATGATAAGTAAAATATTTACATTTCTTGGTTTTACTGGTATGAGCTTTACTTATCTAACTGACTAGAATTCATTACTCATGTTATTCCACCATCCAAATGAGACTTCTAAACTCTTCAAAAAATTTACAAAATGTTTGTTTTTGTAATTTCAAAACAAATCAAAATTTCCAATGTAGAAAAACCTGTAGTAATTAACCATATACAACAGATTTAGAGAATAAATGTACCTTTTCTGCTTCTTCTGCTTCTCTTTCTTTTTGTTTCTTTTCTTCCTCTCTTCTAGTTTTTATCTGATCTACTATTTCATTTAATTTTTCTTGCACAGCTGTCACTAGAGTAAAGATCATCACCATACCAAGATTTTCTTCAGCCTATGCAACAAAAAGGTGGTAAAGAACACACTTCTTAGAAAAATAGAAAGTAGCCTATGATAAAATGTGTTAGTGTAATCACTGAAGACATGTTTCTAACATGATTACAATTCAGTTACACCATATATTCATACACTAGAATAAATGAACATGTTAAGAAATGATTATATATGAGATAATGAGATCTTCCTCTAAAAGTCATGTCATTTGTCATACCCAACATAAAGCAAGTATTTCAGTAAATTGTGTTTAATAATCACATGTGTAGAATTCAGAAAACCTTTTTCTATAGTATGAGTAACAACATTTCTCAAGCATTTCTCAGTATTTTAAATTACCGTTTTGAGTATTAAAAGCTAAAATAACAGAATTTAGATGCCAGCTTGAATTTTTAAACTATTACTATAATAAAGACTGTGGGTACTTTTGTGCCCTTTGTAAGGGGCTTCAAGCTAACTCCTGTAATCCTCCTCAATGTGCTGCATCTATGCTAAGCATCCTAAATTTATGAGTAATAAGAGTCTCTCGTGAGTGTGAAACCATACTGAAACTGCCCACTAGAGGGTGACTTAATATCCAACAGTCACTTCAATACTAAATGTTTTCCACAAAACCCATTCCTGGGTTCTCAATCTCAGCAAACCACATCATCCTCTACCCAGTGTGCATATCCTTACCCATTTAAAATCAGTCTCTGCCTCTGTTGTTCTGCCCATTGTTTTCAAACAACATTGTTAATTCCCTATCCCAGGACACCATCATTTTCAGTTTGGAATACAAGAAACTTTAATTGATCTTCTTAAACCTATGACCTTGCCCCCTGACATAACTTCTCTAGACCACTCTACATATACAAACATACACGGCTAAACTAATTTATATGCTGAAGCAATATAAAACTGATCTAGTCAGTCTCTTGCTTTCTTCAACAGCTTACCAAACCAATCAGAACCAAGTCCATATTTTTAAAGTTTAGAAGACCCTTCTAAAGAATGGGGTAACTTATTTAGTTTCATCTCTTGTCACCATGAGCATTGAACTTTAAATTCCACTGATGCTGTGTAACTGGAAGTTCTGGGAAGAATCTCTCACTATTTCTTTGTCCACCTCACCACTCATCCCCCATTCTCAACCTTGTTCCTTTAACAATCTTGATCCTCTTTCTTAAAACTCTTCCATTCCCTTGATGGTCTGGAATCTCTTCCTTTAGATCTCAACTTCCTCTTTTAAGCTTCTCCAGTGCTTCAAGTCTATAACCATCCACACAATCCTGAATTTCACCATCATTGCATTGTTCATATAAAATAATGATATCCAGCTTGTCAGTCCAAATTCCTCAACAGAGTATAAAATCTATGAGACCAAGGATGGTGTCACTTAACCTAATGCTTGACACATTTCATTAACAAATCTCAGTAGGGTATCTTTTATAAAAATTAAGTATTTCAATAGAACAGCAAAAACATAAATAAATATATCAATGAATAAACATTCATGGAAACTAAACAACTCAGAAATCATACTAGTTCCACATCACTAGTATTAGAAATGCAAATTATAAAAATATACTGTTTTCATCTTATTAACATTTTTTTTCTTAATGAAAATATGTAGTATTAGGAAAACTGAGAAACAGATATCTGAATGGCTATCATGAGGTCATAAACTGGCAAAATCAACTTATCAGTATGAATGAAATTGTTAAACATGCAAACCTTATAGATATACCAATTTGACTTCTAGAAAGCATCAGACTAGTAAAGTCATCAGAGGTTCATTATTTTCGTTTATTCAACAAACATTTGAGTACCTCCCATGCCAGGCACTAGAGATATAATGGAAGATCTGCTCTAAGGATTTAAAAATAGTGTTATTATGCAGTTATCAAAAATGAGGGAAGATGTCCACATACATTATTATGTGAAAAATGAGATGTTATAAAACATTATAGACGGTGTATAAGTGTAAGAAAAAAATCTGGCACTATATCATAAATAATAGACAATTATACCCAACTGGTGGGTTTGAGAGTCATTTTTATTTTCTTCATGACTTTTTTTTCCTAATATAAATTTGGTTTTTTTGATAACTGGATATTAATACTTTTTTTTGAGAAAAAGTACAATATTCCCTCAACATATCTTATGTCAGGTAAGTATAAAGAAATCAAAACTGCCTTTTTGAAAGGAGAAAATTGGAGTATAAATAATAATATACTAAACACACAAAAGAATTCACTCATATTGAATAATGAACATTAATGTGGGACAAACTAATATAATCATCCCAGGTCTTCTACAGTGTTTACGCTAGAATTACTATAATTTCATGCTGGGAAACAGAATGAACAGGGCCCAACATCAGCAAAAACTCCTTCCTGACAGACCTTTTTTCATGCCTCATTCTCTAATAGCTCCAGATACTTTTGTTATAAAATCAGCACTCAGAGGACAATGGATGGGTCCTTAGAATATGTAAGTCACATCTAAAGTTAAAAGATGTTTTTTGGATAATTCTTAGAAATAAACAAAATTGGGACTTCAGATTTTTAAATGGTAGAGTAAAATCTTTCACTTGCCTTCCTTACTGTATCTAAAGAACCCATGAAAACTTTCTACCAAAGGATGATAAGCCCTCACTGTGGAGAGCCCATTCCGCCCTAGTCTAGTATGAACTTCCCA